AATTTGTATGTTTCTGTAAAAAATAAAAAATTATTGAAAAAATAAAAGCGTGCAATACTTTTGTCCCCCCCCCGGTAAGTTTCTTGGGTAATTAATTAACCATCAGAATGTGATTTTAATTTTATTCGGAAGTTCCTTTTTTTTATATATATATTATTCGTTTTTCCATTTAATTCACAAATTAAACTAATGTCTACAAGTTCATGTTAAAAAAGATATGATTAAATAAAAAAAAAATACATTTTTTATTTTTCACAAATAAGGATATTAGGAATCAAAAAGTTTAAACGAATCAAAAATCGGTAACTATGAGATTATAAATCAATTGATATTATAATGGTAGAAGTAGTTATAAGCAAAATCTTGAAAAATATAACGAAGAATATATCGTTTCGTTACATGTTCAAGCGTCAAATCTTAAAATTTTGTGTTACGTAAAATGTTGACGTGATTATGCTTCGGACTAGAACGGTACCCGTTTCCTAGTATAATTTATTAACGTGTATATATATATAATACTTGTGATTATTAAAGTACAATAAACATAAAAATATTTATGTTTGAAACACTGGGATAATTTATTTATAAATCCACTTTTCCGGATGGAGATATTTTCTTGTTCCTGTTTATTAAATATAAATCTATTAGTAAAGATTCTTTGTTGTAATCTGAAACAGAAAGAAAATGATTTTACCAAATATTGTTCTATATCGTCAATATGACTTGATACATCATCCTTTCCATTATTTTCTTTATACGATTTATACCATTTTAGGGCTTCTCTTTTATTCATTTGGATAACATGGTTGACCTTGTTATAATATTCAGCAACAAGTTTTTGAGAAGGTATATATCCCATCTCGGCTGAACTTTTATATAATTCAAATGCCTTTGATAAATCTTTGTTTACACCTTTACTATTTTCATAACAATAAGCGAGACTATGTGAAGAAACAATCAATCCATCATCAACGGCACGCTGATAATATTTCACTGCTTCTTCATATTTTTCCTTAAAGAAATAATAACATCCTGCAAGTTCATGATGTCCATTAATATCATTATTTTCACTTGCTTTTGTAATCCAATCTTTACATTTTGCTTCATCTTTTTCTGTTCCAAAACCTCTTCCATAAAATACTCCAACCATTACTTCATAATGCTTTATTGATTTATTATTAAATAGATGGTCGAAGATGTCATGTGATTGTGACTCATATTTTTCTAATGTATCATTGAAACTTTTCAATCCAAGTTTATGATCGTTTAAATAAGCACAAATAATTTCATCTAATGCTTCATGTATTTCATTATTACTATTAATTTTTTGTTGTGTTAATTTTTCATATACTTCTTCAATATTTGGTCTTTTGCCTGGATCATCTTCCCAACATTCTTGATAAAGTTTTTGACACATCAAAGGTGTATTTTCAATCGGTTCTTCTCTAAGACCAAGATCACTAATTTTATACCATAATAGAAATTTTTCCAATTTTGGAAAAGGAGGGTGACCGCTCGTAATTTCCCACAATAAAACACCTAAACTATAAATATCTGATCGTTTATCTCTTTTAGTTTTATTCTTGAAACGTTGTTGATCAATATACGCAGTAATGCCATCACAATTACTATTTATGGAGCTTTCTCCTGATTGTTTAGATAATCCAAAGTCTGCAATCATTAATCGGTTATCATTGACTAATATGTTTTTGAATGCTTTAAAAGGTATATTATATATATTAGGATTATATAAACAAATTTTATTTAAGTTTAATGAAATATAAATAATTTTACCAAATCCACGTGAACGATATCTTCAGAATGTAAATATTTTAATCCACGAGTAATATCCAAGGCCATCCGAATTTTATCTTTCCATAGAAGTTTATGAAAATTCTTTTTTAAATATTCTCTCAAATCTCCTTGATTAGCGTATTGCAATACCATTGCATAAATATCTGATTTTGGATCTTGTAAATCAATCATAAGTGAAAAAAAAAAGAAACATTCAATAAAATGTCGAACTCCTTTTAAATTATACTTGAAATTATTAACCTTTTGTGATCCCGAAAAATCTATTTACGTTAGGATGGGAACTGACTTTTCGTAAGATTCTTAACTAGGTAGTAAATAATATAAATGTGAAATTATATATCAATCATTCTACTGCAACTGAATATTATATTTATACCTCTTTAAGAAATGTTTGTTCTTCGATATCAGACTTTGTTGAAATAGATTTTAACGATTTTAACGCGACTATTATGTCGCCATTATTCCAGTGAGCTCTGTCTATTTTTCCAAATGCTCCTTCAGTAATATATTTAATATTACTGAATTCCTCGTATTTAAGATAAGTAATGTCACCCTCTTTTATCTTTGGGTCAATCCATTTCTCTATTGACGCCATTTTTAGGATTTTGTAGATTTATTGTAGTTGAAATTACGTAAAACTGATGGTTAAATATTATTCAGAAACTCTGATTTTTCACGTTTCTGAATATTCGATTTCATTTGAAACCACGTGCATGGTAATGAATATAGTAATTATAATAAATACGTATTGGGATACGGTATTTCATGTGGATAAGACGATCAGTAGATCGAAATTGTAAGCGGTCATCAGCTGTCCTAAAAGTTCCAATAAATTTGCAATTTCTAAAGATTTTATTTTATTGCCGTTATATTTACTTTTTAATAATAATATATTAATTATATTAATAGAATATCAAAAGCCGATTTTCATATTAAATGAGTTTACTTATCACAAAAATCTTACGCTGATCATCATGTGCTCAATAAATTCTAACCATTGATTTTCCTTTTTGGGCGATTACTTTTACGCGAAATTTCGCTTTAAAATAAGTTTTTTTAAGATCTTCTTACAAGTAGATACAAATATACAACTCATAACAACAAAAGTATTTGTAATTTTATGGGTGGTAGAAGATTCTCTTAGGTTGTAAGTTTCTGTTATTTAGTTGGATTTTATGTAATATACAAAAAATCGATTTTTTAAATAAAAAAAGATAAAATTTTTATGATGGCAAGCTCTTAATAAATGCTTTGAATTTGACGGAACTAACAACTTTATTAAAGTAAGTAATTTATCTTTTTCCTTGAGAGACTCCATTTGGCTAAATAGACAATATTAATAAAAAACATTAAAAAAAATATGTAGAAGTTTAAGAATATTATTAAATTATAAGAAACAGTAGTGGTGAATATATTTTTTATTAATTTACAATTAATATAAAAAAATAAAAGATCAAATTACAAAAAAATAAATATATACTGTCTTTGCCCTTCCTCACTATTGATATCTAATAAAATAATGAATATTAAAAGTTAATAAGATTCGTCACCATTACAACTTTTTTTAGCCTGCTGATAGGTTGTCGTTTGTTATGGGAAAAATGGAAATTTGAAATTTTTTTTGGAATGTGTAACAAAATCATATTTTTATGTAATACTTTTTAAAAAATATTTTTAAAGAAAAAAAATTTTTTTTTTTGGTTAGTTTTACTAGAACCCATTATTCAAATGTTGAATATCAAGTTCTTTATATCGCTATACTATAGCACTGACATAATTTTTAATTTGAAATTAATATAAAACTCATCACGTGTTTATTCAATCAATTTATTATCATTATACCATTTTGAAAATGGCGATAATTATTATATAATAATAAAGTAAACTTTAAAAAAACAGTTTTTTCAAAACTTTTTAACTTTTATTAACCTTTATAACATAGAGTATTTGAGCCTTGTGTATTAGTGAGGTTTTAATATGTAGAGGTATCTTTTAGCTTATTAAATGATTCTTAACTTTCTAGCAATTCCAAAATAATTCCTTAGCGATTACTACAATTATTGGCAAGATTCCTGTTTCAATTCCTAAATAAGCTTCATTTTAGCTTATATTTATCTTTTTTTTATAAAATATATTTTAAGTAATGAGAAATAGTTTTTTTGGATGAGTCTTTATCATTTTTATAATAATTCATTCTAACATGAAATTTTTGATTTTTTAGGAAATGCAATAATTGTTAATTTTTTTCATGAAGGATTTTTTATTTTTCCTATAATAAGAACGAAAAAATTGTTTAATTTTATTATATAATTTGTTATATTTAATGTAAACTTTATTTTTGTGTTATAATATTACATTTTTTTTTTATTTTTTTAAGTCTTATTTAAATATTTCTAGTGTTTTTTTAATTTTTTTTAATTGATCGACAAATCACTTGATTACACTAATCAAATAAATTTATTTCATACTATTAAGTTAGGTTAATTATTCGCTTTTATAAGTGATGTTTATATAATCTAACTTTTGTTTAAATTAGAATGAAAATAAATAAATAATAATAAAATAAAATAAATAAAGTAAAAATAAATAAAGTAAAAATTTAAAAATAATTAAAAAAAAAAAAAAACTTTAAAGAGGGGGTCTAGGGATACTCGGTACCCCCCAGAAAAAAAATAATTTTTTTTGCATATTAAAAAAATAAGTAATTATATCTACTATTGACAAAAACAAAAAAAAATCATTATAGTGATCTATTACGAAAAAATTACAGAAACATATTATTTATTAGGATTAGTACAACTGGAAGTTAATTATCATCAGTCAAAGAATGGTTTTTTTTTCAATTATTAGTAATCAATATTAAATAAGTCACACAAATCGCGTGAACTTTTTTTTGTCATGTGCAACGTTTTGTAATGTTTTTGCATTTCTGTGCATTTCTGGTAATTTCAAAATGCATTTTTTTTTTATTTTTGCATCGCACGAATCCTTGGGCTCTAGTATGAATAACCTGGACCTCGGACCATTAATTCACTATCACGCACTATGTATCTTTATTAGTATAGATTAATAATGAGTACTCAAAGAGAAAGAAGAAAAGAAAATTTTAATTACTAATGTATAGTCTAAACCAGTCTTCCATTGCAAGAAATTTTGAATATTATTCATTTTTATATAATATCAATCAGTTATAATGAAAAAATAAGATTCAAATATCACTAACAGATAGATATATTTACATTAGAAAGAATTTTTTATAGACTTGATAACTGATTGTTTTATTATTTGATTCTGATTACTTAATAATGATCCCAAAATTCTATATAAAAAATATTATTTGATTCTGATTACTTAATAATGATCCCAAAATTCTATATAAAAAATATAAGCATTAGCAGAAATGAAATAAATGTTCAGATGTATTTATTTTGGGAGTTCAGTTATATAAAATATGAAAAGACATCTACCATTTTTGAACATTTCATATTATATGTACAATTTTTTATTTTTAATGAAAATAGAGAAAAACCAGTTGATCAAATATCTTTTAAGTATAAATCTTTTATCAGAAATCTAAAACAATTATTCTAATAAAAGGTCTAATATTAAAGAGATTTATAGAAAAATAAAACAATTAGAATTAATTTTAACTAATGAAGTAATATTAATAATACAGAATATAGATAATGATAATTTATATATTCTTTACAATGATAGTATAAATAAAATAAATTTTTTTCTTCTAATTAATGTATAAAATAATTTAAATTTAATTATGTTTGTCAGTATTAAATTAATATGAATAATGTATTAATATTATATAAATAAGTAAATTTGATTCATTTATTAATAAAAGGAAATAATTATAATATACTTAAGATATATTTTAATTTAGTAAATTTATTAATAAAGTAATATTAAAGAAGATAATTTTGATAAATCATGCAGAAATTATCTTTTCTATAAGGAATTGAATAAATGTATATAGAAATGTATCAGCTAATGTGAATGATATGATCAATTTAGACAAATATTTATTTAATTCAATCTGTTTAGAAAAATAAAAAAATCAGAATAGATTGTATTTTAGTTGTAAAATTTATTTTAATTTACATAATAATAAGAATACTTATTAATTAATAAATTTTTACTAATAATATAAAAATATTATAACTTTTATTGATTATGCATATGAATAAATACTGCTGCAGTAATTTTAAAAATATTTATAAGATCAATATCAATTTTGTACTTTCTATCAAAAATATTTCCCTTACTCTTACCACTTAAAAAAAATCTTAGTTAATAATTAATTAAATACAAATAAATTAAGATATAAGTGTTAACAACTCTTTTAGAATAGAATGATATTATTCTCATTATTCTTAATTTAATATGAATAGAAAACTTTCTACTCCAAGTTGTGTCTACCTTTCTATTATCAGTAACCATTCTTTTAGAATAATTAGATAATTAATTAACATATTTTTTTTTATTTTAAATATTCTTATAATATTTTTTCAAGTAATTAAATCCAAAGGTTTAATTGATAAAGATTTTTAAATTAGATGATAAGTTTTCTTTTAATTAATTTTTTATAGACCTTTATATTAAAATTAATATAATGTAATTTTATAAGAAGATTCAGAAAAACTATTATAAACTTTATGTTGAAATTCTACATAAGCTAAATTTTGCAAATCTAATTAAAAATTTAGAAAGTTAATCAAATATTGCTTCTTTTTAATAAAATTAAATTTAATTAAATATACTTTTTAATAAGGCTATAGTAGAAGAATTTATTGACAGATCAAAATCAAATTAAATGCAATATTAATTTTAAATAGGTATCTTAGATAAGAAATCTGTATAAATAATTTAGAAGAAAAATAATAGATATTAATAATATTTCTATAAAGTAATAAAAATTTTAAATTTCTTTATATTCCTAGAATTTATTATCTTAATTTTAACATTTATTTAGAAAATATATATTTTTTATTATAATAAAGTAAGTTTTTATTTAAAAAATGCTAAATATTAATAAAATTAGCATAGTTTTTGAATACTGAATATTAATTAATTAATTTCGCTAAATTTTTATAGAATTACTTTATATTTTCAATATGAATATTATAAGTTTTAATTAGTAATTAAATTAATTAAATGGAATTGATTTAGGTTAATATATATTTTAACTTTCTTTATCTTATTACCTTTTATTTTCTATTGTGTAATTCTTTATAAAAAAATTTTTTTGACAATATGATCTGCATATTAAATCAGAATTAATTAAACTAAGAAAATAGAAATTGTAATTAAGTCTAAAATGGTCTTAACTAAAAAATTCATACAAATATTTGCTTTATCTAAAATTTTATCTAATTAAAACCAATTAGCATAGTTATTTTACTTTTATTTATTTTTTATTTAATGTTTAATATTATTATTACAAAGAAATAATGCAAGTAATGAATTATCTATTATTTAATTTTATTATTATAATAATATTACTATTTAATTATATTTTATAATTATAGAAATAAGTTTATTATGGTAAAATAATAAGCATTTAAAAACTATTTATGATTCTTT